AAATTAAATGTATATATGAGCAAATAGTCCCACTCCAAAACTCATGTGAAATTATAAAAAATACATAGTGCCAAAAAAAAAAAAAAATTTTTAGAAAACAAACAAAAAAAAAATGCTTGTTTCAAAGAAGTGTACTTCCACCATAACATATACCGCACTTTTACGCCTTTTAGGGATCCTAGACCCTGCTGATCAGCTTCCAGAATTCCACTCCACCACATAAGACCTTTAATCCAACTTTCAACACCTCCAAACTTCTCCTCCCAGACAGGCGGAGGTGACGTAGGACAGCAGACCGGAAGTGCGTCAACGCGTTTCGCCCCTCCCACAGGGCGTTTTCAGAGACACACTTCTTTGGAACAAGGACTTTTTTTGTTTGTGTTTAAATATGATTATTTTATTAATTTTTTTTGGCACTATATATTTTTTTTGGCACTATATATTATATAAATTTTTTTTAAAATTTCACACAAGTTTTGGAGTGGGACTATTTGCTCATATATACATTTAATTTTTACATGATTTTTATATTATTTAATTATTTGCGCTGTTTATGATGTTTATGTAAAGTCTACATGTTTGCTAGTGCCTTAACCACTTCAATATGGGGCACTTATACCCCCTTCCTGCCCAGGGCAATTTTCAGCTGTCGAACTTTGAATGACAATTGCGCGGTCATGCAACACTGTACCCATTCAAAATTTTTATAATTTTTTCACACAAACAGAGCTTTCTTTTGGTAGTATCGCCACTGAGTGTTTTTATTTTTTTGCTAAATAAAACAAAAAACACCTAAAACTTTTGAAAAAAAAACAAAAACTCACTTTTCTTCGTTTGTAATAAAAGTTTGCAAATAAATAACATTTCTTTATAAATTTAGGTAAAAATGTATTCTGCTACATTTCTTTGGTGAAAATAATAGAATTTGTATTTTTTTTTTTCAAATTTTTTTTTTTATTACATTTTCTTCTCTTTTTTTTTTACTATTTTATTTTTCAGCACACTGTGACCAAAGCAATAAAATGTTACCACAGTAACATTGAACTACTCTGGGCAAGTGATCAAGATTTTTTGTGTCCTGTAGACACAGCCGGTGACAGATCACGCCGCTCCACGGCTTGTTTTGACAGGACGTCATATGATGCCCAATCACAACAGCGAGTGTCCCGCCCGGCTGTCAATCTGCTATAAGCCGGCCAGGAAGGTGTTAAACAATAACCTCCCCCCAGATTGACAATGCTACTGTCCAAAGGGGTCTGCTGCTCTTTCATATAGAGTGGAGGGACCCTAAGACAGGAAGTATATATATATATATATATATATATATATATATATATATATATATATATATATATATATATATATATATATATATATGTGAGCTGGCCAGTAACATACTTCCTGTCTTAGGGTCCCTCCACTCTGGATGGAAGAGCATATAATGAAACCAACACATTTGAGAATTGGTAAGCTTTTCTTTTTTTGGGGGGTTTAATACAACTTTATCCTTGAACAGCTTTAGAGTGAACCTACATAAGATTTGTTCATGTCAGTCTGCTGGGTAATCTCACTTCCCATTGGCTCTCATCACTCCCGCAATATGATGGAAGAGATACAATTGTCAATCAGAGTTTATACCACCCAGCAGCATGAGATGAAATCTGACTTTGTAGGCTGCAAAAACCTGCTCCATTCACATCTGTACTTGTCCAGTATGGACACTCATCAGAAGTAGAATCTAAAAAGCTGTATATAAAAATATGAAACCGCAAGAATGTAAAACACTAAGAGACATGATAAAAAGTAAACATCACAACACAAAACAGAATATTTTGTCTACATTTATCAGGACAAACTCACACCTCCTCTGATCACAGGCAGGGCAAGTGTGCACTCACACACACCCCTCCTCCGATCATAGGCTAGGCACGAGCATGCAAACACATCTGATCACAGGCCAGGCATGCACATACATACATACCCCTCCGGTGACCACAGGCTGCAAGCAAACTCACATACACACGTCCTCTAATCAGACTGGACGCACACCTCTTCTGGTCACAGGCTGAGCGCATGCATGCAATCACACCCCCCCTGATCACAGACCAGGCAGGCGCGCGCGCGCCCCCCTGATCACAGACCAGGCAGGCGCGCGCGCGCCCCCCCCCTGATCACAGACCAGGCAGGCGCGCGCGCGCCCCCCCCCCTGATCACAGACCAGGCAGGCGCGCGCGCGCGCCCCCCCCTGATCACACAGACCAGGCAGGCGCGCGCGCCCCCCTGATCACAGACCAGGCAGGCGCGCGCGCGCGCCCCCCCTGATCACAGACCAGGCAGGCGCGCGCGCGCGGCCCCCCCCCCTGATCACAGACCAGGCAGGCGCGCGCGCCCCCCCTGATCACAGACCAGGCAGGCGCGCGCGCGCGCGCCCCCCTGATCACAGACCAGGCAGGCGCGCGCGCCCCCCTGCGCGCGCCCCCCTGATCACAGACCAGGCAGGCGCGCGCGCCCCCCCTGATCACAGACCAGGCAGGCGCGCTGATCACAGACCAGCGCGCGCCCCCCTGATCACAGACCAGGCAGGCGCGCGCGCGCCCCCCCCTGATCACAGACCAGGCAGGCGCGCCAGCGCGCGCCCCCCCGATCACAGACCAGGCGCGCCCCCCCCCCCGATCACAGACCAGGCGCGCGCCCCCCCCTGATCACAGACCAGGCAGCGCGCGCCCCCCCGATCACAGACCAGGCAGGCGCGCGCCCCCCCGATCACAGACCAGGCAGGCGCGCGCGCCCCCCCCGATCACAGACCAGGCAGGCGCGCGCGCGCCCCCCCGATCACAGACCAGGCAGGCGCGCGCGCCCCCCCGATCACAGACCAGGCAGGCGCGCGCGCCCCCCCCCCCCCGATCACAGACCAGGCAGGCGCGCGCGCCCCCCCGATCACAGACCAGGCAGGCGCGCGCGCCCCCCCGATCACAGACCAGGCAGGCAGGCGCGCGCGATCGCCCCCCCCCCCGATCACAGACCAGGCAGGCGCGCGCGCGCGCCCCCCGATCACAGACCAGGCAGGCGCGCGCGCCCCCCGATCACAGACCAGGCAGGGCGCGCGCCCCCCCGATCACAGACCAGGCAGGGGCGCGCGCGCCCCCCCGATCACAGACCAGGCAGGGGCGCGCGCGCCCCCCCGATCACAGACCAGGCAGGCGCGCGCGCCCCCCCCCCCCGATCACAGACCAGGCAGGGGCGCGCGCGCCCCCCCGATCACAGACCAGGCAGGCGCGCGCGCCCCCCCGATCACAGACCAGGCAGGCGCGCGCGCCCAGCCCCCCCGATCACAGACCAGGCAGGGGCGCGCCCGATCACAGACCAGGCAGGGGCCCCCCGATCACAGACCAGGCAGGGGCGCGCGCCCCCCCGATCACAGACCAGGCAGGGGCGCGCGCGCGCGCCCCCCCCGATCACAGACCAGGCAGGGGCGCGCGCGCCCCCCCCCGATCACAGACCAGGCAGGGGCGCGCGCGCGCCCCCCCGATCACAGACCAGGCAGGGGCGCGCGCGCCCCCCCCGATCACAGACCAGGCAGGGGCGCGCGCGCCCCCCGATCACAGACCAGGCAGGGGCGCGCGCGCGCCCCCCCCGATCACAGACCAGGCAGGGGCGCGCGCCGCGCGCCCTCCCGATCACAGACCAGGCAGGGGCGCGCCCCCCCGATCACAGACCAGGCAGGGGCGCCCGCGCCCCCCCCCCGATCACAGACCAGGCAGGGGCGCCCGCGCCCCCCCCCCCGATCACAGACCAGGCAGGGGCGCCCGCGCCCCCCCCCCGATCACAGACCAGGCAGGGGCGCGCGCGCCCCCCCCGATCACAGACCAGGCAGGGGCGCGCGCGCCCCCCCTGATCACAGACCAGGCGCGCGCACCCCCCTGATCACAGACCAGGCGCGCGCACCCCCCTGATCACAGACCAGGCGCGCGCACCCCCCTGATCACAGACCAGGCGCGCGCACCCCCCTGATCACAGACCAGGCGCGCGCACCCCCCTGATCACAGACCAGGCGCGCGCACCCCTCTGATCACAGACCAGGCGCGCGCACCCCTCTGATCACAGACCAGGCGCGCGCACCCCTCTGATCACAGACCAGGCGCGCGCACCCCTCTGATCACAGACCAGGCGCGCGCACCCCTCTGATCACAGACCAGGCGCGCGCACCCCTCTGATCACAGACCAGGCGCGCGCACCCCCTCTGATCACAGACCAGGCGCGCGCGCACCCCTCTGATCACAGACCAGGCGCGCGCACCCCTCTGATCACAGACCAGGCGCGCGCACCCCTCTGATCACAGACCAGGCGCGCGCACCCCTCTGATCACAGACCAGGCGCGCGCACCCCCTCTGATCACAGACCAGGCGCGCGCACCCCTCTGATCACAGACCAGGCGCGCGCACCCCTCTGATCACAGACCAGGCGCGCGCACCCCTCTGATCACAGACCAGGCGTGCGCACACAAACTCCTATAATCACAGACCAGACGCGTGCACACACACACACACTCCTCTGATCACAGACCAGGCGTGCGCACACAAACTCCTATAATCACAGACCAGGCACGCGCACACACACTCCTCTAATCACTGGCTGGGCACACATACCCCTTCTGATCACATCTGAGCTCACAAAACTGGCAGAACTCAAATTTCACCCATGAGTCCTCTTTAATGTGAAAAACATAATTCCCAAATATACAGCTGAAAAAGCGCAAAGCCTGCAAATGGCGGTACGCTGAAGACAGGGGCTGGGTGTACAGTCTGTTGGTGTTGTAGCAGGTTCAGGGTGGCGGGAAGGAGTTGTCACCAGGGAACATCGACAGACAAATCTTTCCTGTGGCTGCAGCAGCTGGAGGATCGCCACACAGTCCGGCAATGATTTTCTGACAGATTAACACCCGAGAGGAGGACGATGACAAAAAGGGGGTGTGAGGGATATAAAGGACTGACTTGCTCCCTTCACTCAATGAGTTTCTTTGCTTTGAAAAAGCGACGCAGATAGAAAACTTGCCACGTTGCCAATCCCATCAGACAACACATGGAGAAGATACTGAAATAGAGAACTCGCACATTGGTGGACTCTGCAAGAGGAAAGAAAATCCATCAAATTGGAGCAAGAGGACAGGAAAGTATAGAACATGAGGAGAATAATGGGCAGACAGCAGATTGTAGGGAGTCAGGGAACAGAGGACAGAAAGGTGAGCAGCAACTGCAGGAGAGAGAAAGAACGGAATAAAAAGTATCTCACCATTTGTGTCCCTCATCTCCTCTTCCCTCTTCTTCATGTAGGCAAAGTCATTAACAATGGATTCAGAAAGATCCTCCAGACGGCGCAGCTCCACCTCAAGTGGTTTCAGCTTCTCCACCTTTGCAATCTGAACAAGGATAGCAAAATCCACCATTAATATCAGGAATTCCTTGTTCATGTTCCATGACACAAGACTGGACACAGATCCCTGCATGACCCAATAAAAGGCTGGACACCGATCCCCGTTCACTCCCACCATGATCATACACAAGGCTGAATTCAGCTCCTTCTTCACCTCCACTATGATCCAACACAAGGCTGAACATAGCACCCTCCTCAAATTCTCAATGAGCCAACGAAAGGCTGGACATAGGTCCCCCACCACTCGCACCATGACTGTACACACGGCAGGAAACAGATCCCTCCTCACCTCCACTATGACCCAACACAAGGAGAACATAGCACCCTCCTCAAACTCTCAATGACCCAACAAAAGGCTGGACCACAGGTTCCCCATCACTCCCACCATGACCATACACAAGGCTGAATTCAGCTCCCTCCTCACTTCCGCCTATGACCCAATACAAGGCTAAACATAGCACCCTCCTAAAACTCTCAATGACCCAACGAAAGACTAGACACAGGTCCCCCATCATCCCCACTATGACTAAACACGGCAGGGCACAGCTCCCTCCTCAAATCCTGCATGACCCATAACAAGGCTGAACATAGCACAGTCCTCAAATTCTCAATGACCCAACGAAAGGCTGGACACTGATCCCCCATCACTCCCGCTATGACCATACATAAGGCTGAATTCAGCTCCTTCCTCACTTCTGCTATGACCCAACATGAGGCTGAATATAGCACCATCCTCAAATTCTCAATGACCCAACGAAAGGCTGGACCACAGATACCCATTACCCCCACCACGACCATACAAAAGGCTGAATTCAGTTCTCTCCTCACCTCCACCTGTGACCCAACACAAGGCTGAATATAGTACCCTCCTCAAATTCTCAATGACCCAACAAAAGGCTGGACCACAGGTCCCCCATCACCTCCACCATGACTGTACACAAGGCAGGGCACAGCTCCCTCCTCAAATCCTGCATGACCCAATGAAAGGCTGGACACCAGTCCCTCATCACCATGACCATACACAAGGCTGAATGCAGCTCCCTCCCCAACTCCACCATGACCCAACACAAACCTGGATGCAGCACCCTCCTCTACTGGGCACAAGGCTGGTCACAGCTCCCTCCAGACCACCATTACCACACTGACACAAGGATGGATGCAGCTCACTAATCACCCCCACCATGACTCAATGAAAGGCTGGACACCGGTCCCTCATCACCCCCCCCATGACCATAGACAAGGCTGAATGCAGCTCCCTCCCCACCTTTGTTAGGACCCAACACAAGGCTAGACATAGCGCCCTCCGCACTTCACCAGGACCCTACACAAAGCTGGATGCAGCTCCCTCCTCTACTGGGCACAAGGCTGGACACCTCCATGACCCAATGAAAGGTTGGACACCGGTCCCTCATCATCCCCACTATGACCATACACAAGGCAGAATGCTGCTACCTTCTCATCCTCGTCATGATCTGACACAAGACTGGAGGCAACTTCCCCTTCACCAATACCTTACACACAAGGCTAGACACAGGTTACTTCTCACCTCCGCCTGGACCCAAATATCAAAGCTGGACACAGCGCCCTCCTACAGAAGAGACTTTCACATAAGTCACAACTCACCTCCTCATAGTTCTTGGCCTCCACGCCGTGCTTCATATTGAGGACAATCATCTGATCCGGGACACGTCCAGAACCTGAGAAGATGGAACACATCAGAATCTAACATTCAGGAACATCCCATAATGCGATCATACAGGGCAGCACTAACCTGCAGGGTGTTTGCTCTCAAAGCAGACCTCAAACATGTCATACTCCTCTGTAGTGAAGGCAAATTTCCCCTTTGATGCATCTTCCTTGGAGTAGAGGATGTGCTGAGCAGAGTCCGTGATCTGAAATGAGATGTTCAGGTTGATCAGCACACGATCAGGTCTTGCCACACACAGCAGCTGGGGGGGGGGGCTAATATTATATGGTCAATTGCATTATGTTACCCCCTCCCCCCACCCAGGTACTGCTAGTTCCATTATGGGTCAATAACCAGTGTTGGGTGACGATGTGCTTTACCCTGGAAGAAAAGCACAGCTGTGGATTTATGGATTTATAAGTGGCTGGGGGAGGGCTCATTGGGGACAACCCTGCTCTCAGGTAGAAATATCTAGGCTAACACAGATGACAGATTCCCAGGTGTTACCCCTCCCCCACCCAGAATAACTAGTCTGACACCTTCCTATGTGGCGGCACATATCCCGTGATCACACACGCTGAATATAAACAACATGCAAAGTTTCCTTTATTCACGTCCCAGGCGTGTGCCGTATTAGACAGGGGTGAAGCACACATGGGCGCTCTCTCAGATTACCACCCATGTCCATCCAAGTGTCCAGCCTGCCCTCAGGGAAGACAATCTGTACCTCACTCTGCTTCCCCACTACTGGCATCCCTCAACCCTCCCCCCACGTGCGTATACTTGGGTGGCTTCTAAATACGCAAACCTGGCGCCGCCCCCTCCCCACGCGCGCAAACCTGGCGCCGCCCCCCCCCCCCCCCCCGCGCGCAAACCTGGCGCCGCGCCCCCCCCCCCGCGCAAACCTGGCGCCGCCCCCCCCCCACGCGCAAACTTGGCGCCGCCCCCCCCCCCCACGCGCAAACTTGGCGCCGCCCCCCCCCACGCGCAAAACTTGGCGTCGCCCGCCGCCCCCCCCACGCGCAAACTTGGCGTCGCCCGCCGCCCCCCCCCATGCGCAAACTTGGCGTCGCCCGCCGCCCCCCCCCCCCCCATGCGCAAACTTGGCGTCGCCCGCTGCCCCCCCCATGCGCAAACTTGGCGTCGCCCGCCGCCCCCCCATGCGCAAACTTGGCGTCGCCCGCCGCCCCCCCATGCGCAAACTTGGCGTCGCCCTCCCCCCACATACAGATGAAATAGATCCCCCTATACAAAATTATAGTACCCCTCCCCTAAACCTTTTGGTGGACCTGCTCTCTTCTCCCCCCCACTTCATATACACACTATCACCTCCCACACAACCCCTTCTGCCCCCCTTCATAGACACATTTGGTAAGCCCCGGCTCTCCTCCTGCCTCCCCCTCCATAGATACACTTGGTATGCCCCGAACTTACCTTCAGGCGAACCTGGCCCTGGCCGTGCGGTTCGGACACCTCGTACTCTCCGGTCACCAGCACGTCCTTATGAATTTCCTCCCGGAGACATTTGCGGCTGTTGGGCGGCAGCTGGAAGGAAATGGACCGAACCGAACCGCACAAAGCCAGGAGAAGCGCTACCGCCGGTACCAACGGAGCCATGGCGAGCGGAACTTACCTCACCGGAAGAGGCGAGGCCACGCCGCGGAGCTTTCGCTCGTTCGTCCCTCTGAGCTGGAGCCTATTCATTGGCTGTCTGCAGGATAGACATGATTCTGGGTAATTGGGCGGAGACGCTTAGCGACGGGGGTGTGTGCCTACCGGGTCACGTGATCTGTCAATGTCACTAGCAGAAGCACCACTGATTTCCTATGATGCTGCAAGACTCCGCCCCCAGCAAGACAGAGAGCCCGCCCCTCTCCTGTGCAAGAGATTGTTTTATATATAAACCCGATCGATATAAATCTATAAACACACAAGTCATGGGATTTTAAAAGTCGTTTTAACATGCAGTTTTATTAGGATAATCCCCTTTGATCCTGCCATGGGGGTCCTTGATCACATACTTCCTGTTATAGGGTGACAACACTCTGTACTTGTTTTCCACTTATATTCCTACGTTGTCACCCTGTCACACGGCTTACAATAATGACTATGGGAAGGGGGAGGATAAGATAAAGTGATTTTTTTCTTCAAACAATAAAAACATCATACAATGGGGCTCAGGTAAGTATTTTGGGGGGGGGGGGGGCTGAGGGGGGAACTGATCACAAAAGTTTTTTTTATCTTAATGCAGAGAATGTATAAGGGTCAATTTACACTATAGAACCGCAGTCCAGATGCGTTTCTGCATGCGTGGTTTTTATGCATTCCAGTTCATTGCTTCCTCAAACTTGGTATCTCTCCCCTGCATGCGCAAACTTTGTATCTCCCCCCCTACGCAAACTTGGTATCCATCCATATGCAAATTTGCTATCTCCCGCTCCCCATACGCAAACGTATCTCCCACCCCCCCATTTGCAAACTTGGTATCTCTTGCCCCCCATATGCAAACTTGGTATCTCCTGCCCCCCCATATGCAAACTTGGTATCTCCCGCCCCCCATACGCAAACGTATCTCCCGCCCCCCCATTTGCAAACTTGGTATCTCCCGCCCCCCCCCATTCGCAAACTTGGTATCTCCTGCCCCCCCATATGCAAACTTGGTATCTCCTGCCCCCCCATACGCAAACTTGGTATCTCCCACCCCCCCATACGCAAACTTGGTGAACTGGCCCTTAAAGTAAAAACCTTCAGCCTTTAGAAACACTTTAACTCTATGGGAGGTGAGGAGGTGACCAAGTGCGCGTATTAGCGGCCATGGGATACCAAGTGTGTATGGGGAGGTGCGGAGATACACTCACTTGGTATTATCCTGTATAAATCCTGTATAATTATCCACCACCACACAAACCCCCCCATACATGCACTTTGTATCAACCACCGCCCCCCCCCCCCCATACACGCACTTGGTATCAACCATCGCTCCCCCCCCCCCATACACACTGGGTATCTTTGTCCCCCCTTCTCATACTCACACTTGGTATCTCCCACTCTCCCATATGCACACCTGGTATTTCCTGCCCCACCCAGTTTGCATATGGGAGATACCAATTTTGCATATGGGGGAGCAGGAGACACCAGGTTTGCCAGTGATGGAGAGGAGGGTGGAAATGGGAAATGCCAAGTTTGCATATGGGGGGACGGGACATAACAAGTTTGCATTTGGGGGGAACTGGAGACACCAAGTTTGCCTAAGATGGGAGGGGGGGGGGGTGGAAATGGGTGATGCCAAGTTTACATATGGTGGGATGAGAGATAACAAGTTTGCATATGGGGGGAACTGGAGACACCAAGTTTGCTTATGGGGGATACCAAGTCTGCGTATGGGGACGAAATGGGAGATACCAAGTTTGTGTATGGGAGGAATGGAAGATAACAAGTATGCGTAGGAGGGAACAGGAGATACCAAGTTTGCGTATAGGGAGGATGGGGGATTTCACATTTGTGTATAGGGCACAGCTGATACAAATGTTGTGTATGGGTTGAACGCGAGATACCAGAATTACGTATTGGGAGGAATGGAAGATACCAAGTTTGCATATGGGGGGGGGAGCGGGAGAGACCAAGTTTGCATATGGGGGGTGGGAGAGACCAAGTTTGCATATGGGGGGGGGAAGTTAATAATTTCATTTTGTCGTATTCGTCATGTTAGAATGATTTGTTTTCAGAGTATGTTTCGTATATTCGGATTCATTACTTTCGTATCGATTTGAAATTTGAATTTGGGAAGATGGCTATATTCATTCTGTTTTATTCTGTCCTACTTTTTCTATCTTTTTTTTAATTCTATTTTAATTTTATATCTTATTCTATTTTTTTATTCTCTGTTCTAATATTTTCTATTCTGTTTTATTCTATTCTATTAATTTATTTTCTAGTCTATTCTATTCTGTTGTATTCAGTTCTTTTATTTTCTATTCTATTATGTTTGATTCTATTCTATTCATGTATTTTCTAGTCTATTTTGTTTTATTCTATTCTTTTTTTTTTTTTATTCAATTCTTTTTTTTATTAGTTTTAGGTTAACAAGGTAGACAAGAACACGGACATCCATAGATTCACAGTAGTGCATGAGCATACAAAAACAGTATCGATGATGCAATCACCATATTCGGTTAAGGCAGTTTGAACCATAGGGGGAGGGGGTGGGGTAAGATAAGGGGGGGGGGGGATGGAGGATGGAGGGAGGGAAATTGGGGGGAAAGGGGAGAGAAAAAAAAACTATTATAACTTATGGATTCTGAATATTTGAAAATACCAGTCAAGGTAGCTAGGATATTCTTGCATAGTTGTCAGTTGTACTCCAAAAAAGGTAAATGCCATCAAATTGCAACTGTACATTTAGGATGAAATGCTCACATATGCCAGGCTTTGTAAAATTTGTTGTGTGATAAGTTAGAACTGGAGAATCTTCTTTCCATATCACATTGGAGATTGAGATTGGCGACCACTCTTTGTAGAGATGGGGACTTTGAGGTGTTCCATAGACTAGTTATATTTTATTCTATTCTTTTATTTTCTATTCTATTCTTTTATTTTCTATTCTATTCATTTTTTAGTCTAATCTATTTGGTTTAATTCTATACTTTTATCTATTCTATTTTATTGTATTCTATTCAGCGGCCTAAGTAGGAATCATCCCCTTATTTCACATGTATATCTTACTGTATTTATTGCAATATGTTTACATTTTGAATTCATTTTAGAATTTGAATTAAAATTAATTTTAGAATTTGAATTAAAATTCATTTTTGAATTCATTTTCAAATTCGGATAATTTGCTTCATTATAATTTATTTCAGAATCATTGAAATGTATTACTATTGGTATTGGAAATTCAGATACATCCAAATCTCCAAATAATGAAAATTTCATCCGAATTTCGATGCCTAAGTATATCTAATATAAACAGATTGCCAACTTTCCTTTATAGTAATCACATTAGGTCTTGGAGGGTTCATAACATAAGAGCTGATCATAATTAGCATATGAGGGATAGCAAGGCCTATTTAGAGTTTAACTATGTATCATGATTCAATATTCAGGTTCAGTTCTTTGTTTGGGAAAAGAAAGGGCCCAGGGAATCTCATAAAGCTCCCACACCTCGAGTGGAATGTGCAGTGAACTTGACAGGGGTAATAATATCTATGACTATGTAAAATGTACAAGTGGTCCTGACAATCCGGTTGTAGAGGTCTTAGTCAATGCTGCTTGGCCCTTTCTGAAGTCAATGGGAAGAAAATATTTGTCAGAGGATCTGAAAAAGGCCGTACCCTGCAGGCGTGTGGAAATTGACCTTATGAAATCCAACTTATGAACATCAGAATTCCATCACAAGGTGAAACTATAGCACTATTTTTTATAAAAACTCTAATAAAGGTCTTAACACTAATTTACCTTGAAAGATGGCACAGGAGGATTCTTTGTAGGGCTTCATGCTTGGAAATCGTTCAAGATTAAGTGACTGACACAAGAAACACTATCTTAAATTTGTGGTACTAAAGAGGGACTCCTTCTGTAGATGTGACGTGTAGGAGGTGAGGGACTCCTTCTATAGATGTGAAGTGTAGGAGGTGAGGGACTCATTCTGTAGGTGTGAAGTGTAGGAGGTGAGGGACTCATTCTGTAGGTGTGAAGTGTAGGAGGTGAGGGACTCATTCTGTAGGTGTGAAGTGTTGGAGGTGAGGGACTCATTCTGTAGGTGTGAAGTGTAGGAGGTGAGGGACTCATTCTGTAGGTGTGAAGTGTAGGAGGTGAGGGACTCCTTCTGTAGATGTGAAGTGTAGGAGGTGAGGGACTCATTCTGTAGGTGTGAAGTGTAGGAGGTGAGGGACTCGTTCTGTAGGTGTGAAGTGTAGGAGGTGAGGGACTCGTTCTGTAGGTGTGAAGTGTAGGAGGTGAGGGACTCCTTCTGTAGATGTGAAGTGTAGGAGGTGAGGGACTCATTCTGTAGGTGTGAAGTGTAGGAGGTGAGGGACTCATTCTGTAGGTGTGAAGTGTAGGAGGTGAGGGACTCATTCTGTAGGTGTGAAGTGTAGGAGGTGAGGGACTCGTTCTGTAGGTGTGAAGTGTAGGAGGTGAGGGACTCCTTCTGTAGATGTGAAGTGTAGGAGGTGAGGGACTCATTCTGTAGGTGTGAAGTGTAGGAGGTGAGGGACTCATTCTGTAGGTGTGAAGTGTAGGAGGTGAGGGACTCATTCTGTAGGTGTGAAGTGTAGGAGGTGAGGGACTCGTTCTATAGGTGTGAAGTGTAGGAGGTGAGGGACTCATTCTGTAGATGTGAAGTGTAGAAGGTGAGGGACTCACTTAGTAAGACCAATGGCAGATCCAATTTTTCTGGGCAATCTGAGCTCAGCAAAGCCTTTGAAAATTGAACGATTAACAGTCTGAAGCCCATTTCTTACCTGCAAGAGATGACAGGGCATTTTAGTATTAGGACTAGTATTGTATGAGACGCCTTTATTCACCCCACTTGGGAGAAATCCAAGGTATGCATTTGTAGGCAGGTGCAGTTTAGACTCCCCTTTGAAGATGGCAATGTTTGGGCAGTCACTGTGCAG